GACGACAAGAGTGCAGACTACAAATCCTGTTCACCTAAATTCACTGATGAACTTTATGACATTGGAGGCTGTTTATTAAACACGTCTGGTGTGCTTCAGAAGAGGACCTATCAGGCCGCGATCACGGAGGTTCTTGAGGAGTGTAGTCAGAAGAGGTACTGTATCCTGGAGAGTGACAAGAATCCCTCAATCGATCATCTCAAGGAACTCCACGTGGGAGAGGGAAAGAAGCGCCCGTCACATCTGATGGTAGTGTATCAGTGTGTTAAGGGTAAATATCTGCCCGTTTTTTACAGGGACATATAGTGAGGATTTTTAACTTTAAGCGAGACTATGTTCCACGTTTGTTTTAGTTTGTGCCATGTTATCACTGGAACAACGTCTTTGTGCACTAGTATTCAAGGTGATGCTCATTACATAGATTGGCTCACATACTACAATAGTGGAATCTGAATGTGACGAAGCAAACGTACCGAAACTGCCAGCTGACCAGACTATTCTAACCATTCAAGTCTGTATGTTGCTCTCTGTTTGATTCCTTTCTGTAATCGCGTTGTACTCTTTATAACACATTGACCCAAATATCTGACACTCCAAAGTAAATTGATTTGTTTGTCGTTTAATGCAGCAATTAACAATATTCCAGCTGCACGACGGTCGGCCCAATATTAAGTCGCATCGCTCAACAAAGGTTGCTAGGGATCTATTCTAAGCCGGAATCTCCACGTGGCAAGTGTTCAAGGAACATGCTGTACCCGGGGATTTGTCACTGGCAGCTGGAAATCCTACTGCAGTTGTCTTACCATTTATCACAATATCCGAGGATAACGTCATTAATACTTTCGGAAAATCTTTAATTGATCTCTGCGTATCCCTGAGTATTTATATTCTCAATGGGAGACATGGCTAAGACAAGAAGTTTTACATTTAATGGGAGTTGCGGGAGTAGTTTAGTTGATTATTGTTTAACGTCTATAGAAAATAATGATTATGTAAAAGAATGTAATGTTGAAAATAGGACCGAATCTAGTCATCTACCAATATCATTAGTTATGAAAACAATAGGATCATTTGATGAGAAGTCGACCAGTTATATGGAACAAAATATACGGAGTGATGATAAAGCAGGGGAGTTTGCTTTGAATATATCATCTAACGAATCTCTTAACCAAACAGAATATGCTCAATCTATCATACAACATAATGTTAACGAATCAATTGAAATTTTTACAAATGTTCTTCGTAAAGCAAGTAGTTGTTTCCGTAAAACTGTTAAATGTCGAAACGATATAAGCCGAAAATCGTGGTTTGATGACGAGTGCAGAAAGGGAAGAAAAGAAGAGAGACGTGCGCTTAGAAAACTGCGTTGCCAAAGAACAACTGTTAACTTTAGAAACTATAGATCGGTAAGAAATAAGAATAAGGCTATACGGAGAGAAAAACAGATCACATTTAGAAAACAGATTGTAAGTCATCTAGATAATTTAGTAAAACAAGACGGAAAAACCTTTTGGCGAAAAATTAGAAGTCGTCGGTATCAACATACTCCATGTAATATAAAGATAACGGATTGGTTTGATCATTTTTCAACACTGCATAGTGACCATATCGAGATTGATTGTGATATTAATATCTGTATGTCAAACAAATATGAAATGAATTTTGATGATGATTATAACAGGAAAATAAGCAACGATGAACTTATAAAAGCTATCAGCAATCTTAAAAATATGAAAGCTCCAGGTTTAGATCAAATTTTAGGGGAATATGTGAAAGCAGGACAATGTTACTTTATTCCTTATCTCCTTGATCTATTTAATTATCTCTTTAACAATGGTCTTTTTCCGGATTCGTGGAACATAGGTATAATTCTTCCTCTGCATAAGAGTGGTGACAAAACAAAGCCAGATAACTATAGGGGCATCACTTTAATGAATATATTAAGCAAACTCTATAAATCAATCATTAATAATAGACTAACAAGTTGGGCAAAAAGTTCTAAGAAAATATCGGAGGAACAAGCTGGCTTTCGCGAAGGTTACTCTACTTCTGATAATATTTTTGTTTTGAATGCTCTAATCGACAAGCATTTGTCTAAGCGTAAAGGTAGATTCTACGTCGCTTTCGTAGATTTTAAAAAAGCGTTTGATTCCATAGATACAAAATATTAATTATATCTCTTGGAACATATAGGTCTAAAAGGAAATATGTTTAATGCTATTAAATCTGTGTATGAAAAGGTTAGAAATATCGTAAAGTCTAATGGACAATTTTCAGATATATTTGAATCTCACATAGGTTTAAAACAAGGGTGTGTTTTAAGCCCCTTATTATTTTCTCTGTATATAAACGAACTCGTTCATACTTTAGACAACGAAAACATTAGAGGGGTACAACTTTTCCCTGAATATATAGAATTGTTGATACTTTTATTTGCAGATGATATTGTATTGTTTTCAGATACGATTTCAGGTTTACAAAACCAATTAAATACTCTCAATAAGTATTGTAACAAATGGAAATTGACAGTTAATTTAGACAAAACAAAAATAGTGGTATTTAGAAAATATGGAAGGAAGGAACGATGGACTTTAATAACCAAAATATCGAAATAGTAAAACACTATAAATATTTGGGTGTTATGTTTTACTCAAATATGAATATGATAAAAACAGTGAAATACACATGCAAAAAGGGTAAATTAGCACTTTATGAAATTTTATGATCATTAAATGAACTTGGGTGCTTGTCTTATGACATATTCTTCAAAATATTTGACGTAAAGATAAAGCCTATTTTAATATACGGTGCAGATATTTGGGGCACCAATACATTTGATCCACTTGAGAAAATTCAGATTTATGCATGTAAAAGATTTCTTGGTTTACCGTCACAAACTCCAAATGCTATGGCTGTGGGAGAATGTGGTAGATACCCGTTATATGTTGATTCATTTGTGCAATGTGTAAAATATTGGCTAAGATTAATACACATGTCAGATGATAGAATACCAAAAAAGTCGTATAATATGTTAAAACACTTATATGAATGTGATAGGAGAAATTGGGTAACAAATGTTAGAGAGTCTTTATGTTTGATAGGTCTTGGAGAAGTCTGGTTCTCACAAGGTGTTGGTAATATTGATTATTTAATAAGCATGATTAAACTTAGATTAAGAGATATTTCTCTTCAGGAGTGGCAAACAAAATTAAGAGAAAGTTCAAGATTCGATAGTTACAGTAAATACAAATTTTCATTAAATGCTGAACCATATGTGTATTGCAAAACATATTTAATGCTTAGAAGATACTTAGCTCTTTTAAGAACTGGGGCACGGGTGGCCCAGTCGTCTAAGGCGCCGCGATTCGCTTTGCAGAGTTGCGTCCCTTGGGCACGCCAGAAACCTATGATTGTGGGTTCGAATCCCGGTTCGCCCCGATTATGTTTCTAGGTTTGTCAGCACCATACCCGTGCCTGTGGGTTTCACCGAACTGGTAAAACGTCTGAGACCTGCATCACTTTGGGCTTTCCTCCCACATTAAGCTGACACGCCGTGATATAACTGGAATACTGTTAAAAGCGGCGTTAAACCCAACTCACTCACTCACTCACTCTTTTAAGAACTGGAGGTGCAAAAATTTACATAATTGTTGGAAGATGGAAAAATGTTGAAAAAAGTAAACGAATCTTTCAGAATTGTAATTTAAATGAGCTAGAGGATGAATTCCACATAATAATGAAATGCCCATGTTTTAATGATTTGAGAAATCATTTTGTACCAAAGAAATATTTAAGGAAATGCACATCCAAATGTTTTGTTAATTTAATGAATGATTATGATCCAGCTATAGTAGAAAACTTGCCAAAATTCTGTAAAGCTTCACTTGTGAGGAGAGCATGTTATCATTAATTACACTACACTATGTTATCATTGAACATACAAGTATTATGAACCGCCATCACCTTGATGGAAAATTTGTATTTTTGTATACTTTGTATATGAGCCTGAGGCCTCAAGTACAAAATAAACAGATTGAAATAACAATGGATAAATTAATATTTAAACGTTGTATATTTCCGAAGGAGTGTATGCATGAATATATATAATTACATAATACATAGATTCAGATATGCGTACTTATATTCACATATGCAAATACATTCCTGTATATCATGTTTAAAGCAAAGCATCATCCCTTGTTAAATCAAATGTATGACTCCTCATACAGTGAGTGAGAGTGGTGTTACACCGCTTTTAGCAATATTTCAGCAATATCACGGCGGGGGACAGAATGTACCCATATCGGGAATCAAACCCGGGTCTTCGGCGTGACGAGCGAACGCTTTAACCACTAGACTACTCGACCACCCCTCCTCATGAAGAACTTATCAATCGTGATATGACTTTTCAGACCAAGTTGCCAGTGTCATGTTATATGACAGCAAGACCAGACACGGTAGACACGGTAGACACACGGTAGACACACGGAAGACACGGTAGACACGCGGTGGACACACGGTAGACACACGGTAGTCACACGGTAAACACACGGTAGACACACGGTAGACAAACGGTAGACACACGGTAGACAAACGGTGGACACACGGTAGTCACACGGTAGACACACGGTAGACACACGGTAGACACACGGAAGACACACGGTAGACACGCGGTGGACACACGGTAGACACACGGTAGACACACGGTGGACACACTGTAGACACACGGTAGACACACGGTAGACACACGGTAGACACACGGTAGTCACACGGTAGACACACGGTAGACACACTGTAGTCACACGGAAGACGCACGGTAGACACACGGTAGACACACGGAAGACACACGGAAGACAGACGGTAGACACACGGTGGACACACGGTAGACACACGGTAGACACAAGGTAGACACACGATAGACACAGGGAAGACACACGTATCCAAAGAATAAATGTGATCACTTTTCAGATGGAGAGGCAAGCATGACATTATGTGAAAAGATGACAACATCTGGTAAGGAGGTCTACATCAGCAGCAACCGACTGAAGATGTCATCTCGGGAAACAAGCACCTGCACCTGTACAGTCAGTGGAGCTGCGAGCCGCGTCACCCTGCTGGACGTCAGACTGGGCAACAGCCACGTGACCACACTGTCCATCAGGGACAAGACACGTACAGTGTACACAATCCATGGTGGCGACCTGGCAGTCCACTTCATGGAGGAGATTAAAATCAGCCAACCAGAGTGGAGTTTACCGGTGGACGCTGTCCGTGACTATCTCCCTGACAAAATATCGATGAGACTGGAAGGTAATTATTGAATAAGGCACTTTTGATGACAAAACGTGTAATGTTATCATTATAATTAAACGTCTTTGTTGATTCATTATCTTCCTTTTCTACAGGACACAACGGCTCTGACGTTACAGTCACATGTAAGGGTATGTCCTTTGCTATTTCTACTTGGAGGGGCGGTGGGGTAACCTAGTGGTTAAAGCGTTCGCTCGTCACGCCGAAGACCCGGGTTCGATTTCCGACATGTGTACAATGTGTGAAGCCCTTTTCTGGTGTCCCCCGCCGTGATATTGGTTAATTGTGTCGTAATGCCATACTCACTCACTCACTCACTCACCCACTCACTATTTCTACTTGTCTATATATGCTCGGTCACTCATTCAGCATAATTATTCACAAAATTAAGCTGACATAATTTGAAAGTTAGATTGACACCAACGAAAAACGAGACGTTATTAGTATCAACGTACAGTGCTAAGGAAATGAAAAATAATCTATCATGTATGTATAAAGTATGGTAACTTACTTACCACGAGCTGATGGGGTAAGAATGCGATTGTTTAATAAAATATATACTCTATGGTCTGTTGGAGAGACTCAATTTTATTTATTCCAAATTCACCAAGTTATTCTTCTTCCATATCTGATTAAAACAGGTGTACCGCATCAAGCAAAAGTGATACTTGAAGGAAGCACTTCTTTCTCCACCATAATAAATAGGGAGATTCCAATAATGATATTAGCTGTTGTAAGTTGCAAGCAGCTGAGTTTAGGTTCCTAGACCATTCAGGGCATGTTGTATTTGGAGAGGAAACAAAATGTGAGTTACATTGTTTATCGGGCATGGTTCAATGAATACATTCTTCTGACATCTTATTTATTTTCTTTCGAATGAGAAAACGTCAATTGGATAGAATACATAGTTTAAAACTTGAGTTGGTCAAACTGGACGTCTTTGTCCTACATTGTTATTGTATTGATCTAAATGCCCCCATATCATTTTTTAAAAACTGTTTCAGAATCAGAGACTCGTGACACACATGGGGCGCCACGATCTTCGTCAGGTGAAGAGTGTTTGAATTATTAAGAAAATAGTGTTATTGTATTTATCACTACATCTGTGGCATGTGGTTAATATCTACATATTTTACAAGTACATCATGAACGCATCTCGGGAGGGGAGGCTGGGATGAGCATAGACTGATGATTACTCTGAGGCATCGTGTCTCGTAATGTCACGTTGTGTCTAGTGGCAGTTCAGTTATCCACTGATGGTCGGTTTAAAAAACATCCTCCTCATTATGACTCCAGGTCAACACTGCAGCTATACTCGATGATTCTAGTAAATGGGATATTTTCTGTGAACTGCATCATGTTGGGGTCTTATGCGCGAAGTTGTGTCTTTATTTGTTGGTTTGTTGTTTAACGCCTCACTCAGCAATATTCTAGCTATATGACAAGCATAGTCGCCTTTTACGGCAAACATGGGTTGCTGAAGACCAAGTCTACCCCGGATCTTTACGGGTCTAATCTGTCCCCAGACACTCCGACGTCAGGATATTCTGTTTTGTCCTGGATAACATATTTCCATTGTTTCCTTTTCATTGCAGGTGAACGTCACACCCAGATTGTGTTTGTGTGTGTTGGCTTTGTCACAGGGTTTGTCTCTGTTGGTTTCATCATGGCTATTTGTGTTAAAAGGTAAATAATAAGAACAAGGACTTGAACAAGTATTTGTCATAATGCATACATCTTGTGAGACATATCAACAAAAGCAGAAACACAACAATATTATCCATTCGTTCTGACTGAGCATTATTGTGTTTTAGGAGGTCAGGACACGCGGGCTCCACATCTAACGAAGGAGGCGATAAGGGCGTGGTCTACTACTCTCAACCGGATGAGTCAAGTGACCAGCAGCCAATCGGATCACCAGAAGGAGATGCTGCTGAACCTCACTACCACATGCCGAATGACCCACGTGACCAGGGAGCAGCAGGATGCAATTACTACCTGGTGCCTGTTCACAGACAGACACGATAAACCAGCCTTGCCAGCCTTGCTAAAATAGTGTCAATGCTTCGTCTTGCTTTGTTTATTGCACTATTATTAAGGAGACAGTGTTTTTACAGACCATATTGCATCTTCTACTGTCGATATCGTTGCTGACCACACCTGACATTAACATTGATAGCGTCATCTGATGGAATGTGGAACTCCTCATCCATGTCATTTGTAACGTTTACTTTTTGATATAGTATGGTGATGTCAAAAGGGGTTTAACGTCGCGTTCAAGATTATGTTTACTTCAATAATAGACGTGCATGTTTTGTTTGTTTGTTGTTAAACGCCGAACTCAGCAATATTCCAGCTGTATGACGTCGGTCTGTAAATAATCGAGTATGGACCGGATAATCAAGTGATTGATATCATGAGCATCGATCCGAGCAATCTGGACCGATGACATGCATCAACCAAGTCAGCGAGCCTGACCACCCGATCCCGTTAGTCGCCTCATACGACAAGCATGGGTTGGTGAAGACCTATTCTACCCCTGATCTTCACGTGCATGCATGTTTGTGGCTACTAGTCCGGGCTTATGCCGGTTTCACAACGCTAACCCACTGAGATACCATGCTGTAGTTTAAAATGGACAACACGGCCTCAGGCGGATTGAACAGACACCGATCCGACCAGTCATGGCTGTATGATGCTGAGCGCCAGGCAGGGTAACAGCAAGTACCTTATAATCTTATTATCTTATAACATCTTTTGCTGTGGCGGGGCCAGGGGATCGAACCACCGACCTTCCACTCTACGGACCATTGTTTATTGTGCATGGTGCTTGTAGACTATGTTATGTTTGGAAAAGGGTTATGGAAAGGGTTTTGTCGTTTTTAGTTATTGTAAACACCTTGTAATGGCATTGAACGGTGCATAAACATCGAGGTCTGAATTTTAAACAAAGGATTTAGGCTCGAAAAATAGAAAATTGGAGCTGCTCTTCCATTTTTATTACAGGAACCCTTGATGTAAGCACAGTTAATTCAAGGACAATTCACAGGACATGATTATTCACTTATAAATTCCTTTTTGATTATAAACAACTTGTGAAAAAGACCTGTAACTCAAGGGATGGATTTCCCGCTGTGTTTTATCAATTATTCTGGGTTTCCTCCCCTACGTTTCACCATGCCCTGCCTGCAATAAAATCTGCCTCCTACCATGTGTTTGTCCATATGTGTATCAACAAGAAAAGAGCCTTATGTTTGTAATTTGTAATGATCATTTGTATCCATTTCACTTATAGAACATATGCTAAGCACAATATGATGAAATGTATTATAGATAAATGGGATTTTCGAGGTAGACCTTATCTATACAAGGCACAAAAGACTTGTGTAGAATCTCAAGTTTTTCTGTACCTTACTCAGCCATACAATTTCTACCTATAATCAAAATGGAAGAAGCTATGGGTACAGTTTAATTACACCTGTCCCTTTCTCCATTTACTTCCAGACAGGTTGGTTGTTGTCGATGCAGAGGAAATAATCCTTGTTTTGAAAACTTTACTTTGCTCAGTCTGTCAACCCCTGGTCAGTAAATTCCTCGACAGACGCAAAACACACATTCGAGTGTTGCGTCCCCGAGTCGTGCCAGGATCCGATGATGTTCGAATTCCGCATACGCCCTGATTGTAGTCCTCTGTTTGACACTAATTTACCTGTGGTGGTGGGTTTCATCTGAGTTCTAAATGTTTAGCATTGGACACAGGTCAGCAGCCGATGCATGCAATCAGCCGAGGCCAGCCACCCGATCCTTCCTGTCGCCTCCCGAGAGAGGCATAGGTTACTCCGGACCTAGTCTTACTATCAAGGATAAAAGATAGGTTACCCGGACCTCGTCTAACTATCAAGGATAAAAGATAGGTTACTCCGGACCTCGTCTAACTATCAAGGATAAAAGATAGGTTACTCCGGACCTCGTCTAGCTATCAAGGATAAAAGATAGGTTACTCCGGACCTCGTCTAGCTATCAAGGATAAAAAATAGGTTACTCCGGACCTCGTCTAGCTATCAAGGATAAAAGATAGGTTACTCCGGACCTAGTCTAACTATCAAGGATAAAAGATAGGTTACTCCGGACCTCGTTTAACTATCAAGGATAAAAGATAGGTTACTCCGGACCTCGTCTAGCTATCAAGGATAAAAGATAGGTTACTCCGGACCTAGTCTAACTATCAAGGATAAAAGATAGGTTACTCCGGACCTCGTTTAACTATCAAGGATAAAAGATAGGTTACTCCGGACCTAGTCTAACTATCAAGGATAAAAGATAGGTTACTCCGGACCTCGTTTAACTATCAAGGATAAAAGATAGGTTACTCCGGACCTCGTCTATCTATCAAGGATAAAAGATAGGTTTCTCCGGACCTCGTCTAGCTATCAAGGATAAAAGGTAGGTTACTCCGGACCTAGTCTAACTATCAAGGATAAAAGGATAAAAGCTTCACTCGCGAACACCTGGTGTCATCATTGATTTTCAGTGATCTATTCATGTTATTTGTACCCCTCATTTTCCTTTTACGCCCAATATCAGTATATATACTAGCCACATAAAGAAACTGTGCACGGAGAAAATATAGATATAAGGGCACACCGTCCATATATGAAATATAGGTTTGAACACAGCAATTATTGGAGACATTCAAACGCTCATGCACGTGCCATGCGATATGACGTCATTGATGGGGGCCTATGGACGTGCAATGTGTTACTGCACGTGCATCCTGTGCAGCTGTACACAGCATGTGCAACTCAAAATTCGCTGTCACTTTAGAAAGCATGATCTGTGGTCATTCAAAAATTCAAAACTTCTCAGGCGCAGACACAAGCATATCACCAGCAAATCATGCCAAGATTGACAGCTGCACAGCGTCATGAAGCCATTGGAATGATCCGAGCGGGAATAAGGCAACAACAGGTGGCAACACATTTCCAATGCCATCGTAACACGATATCGGCATTGGTGAGGCGTTATCAGAACACAAATGACGTTGCCGATCACCCACGTTCAGGACGTCCCCGAGTAACGACGCCAAGACAGGACAGATGGATTCGAGTTACACATCTCCGACACAGGTTCCAAACGGCAGTAACGACGTCCCAGACAATTCCTGGACTGCGCCGTATCCATCCCAACACTGTCAGGAATCATTTACGTCAGTACGGGATTCGACCACGACGCCCTGCCATACGTCCCATCCTGACACACCGTCATCGCGTCAACCGTCTAAGATGATGTCGAAATCATGTTCGCCAACCTCGAATATGGTGGAGAAATGTTGTCTTTACAGATGAATCGAGGTTCAACATTTCCCACAGTGACGGGCGCCAACGTGTCTACCGGCGTTTGGGAGAACGTTATGCACGCAACTGTATTGAGGAGAGGAATCGTTTTGGAGGTGGCTCTGTGATGATTTGGGGTGGGATAACAGCACGGAACCGAACCCCTTTGGTGGTTGTTTAGGGCAATCTCACCGGTGTTGGCTACAGAGATCAGATTCTGAGGCCTGTGGTCATTCCTTTCCTGCAACGTCATGGCCCGGGATTGACATTTCAACAGGACAACGCTCGTCCTCACACGGCAAGGGTGGTCATACCCGTTATTGACTTTGTGACTTCGTCGTTTGACCCCCTACTCCATTTGATCTTCTGACGTCATCGTAACAGATGTTGTTCAGGTCCCGTTGACATTTTCTTATGGTCCGATCATTCAGCTGCTACAGCGTCTGCATCATTTTGTTCTTGCTGTGTTGTAATTCAATCCAAAATATATTTTCTCCGTGCACAGTTTCTTTATGTGGCTAGTATAGTATCACGGGGAGTACACGTGGCTTTATGCGCCTTTTGAAAACCTAACGAGGGACGCATGAAACCCAATGAATATGTAAATGTTTTGTGGCTATGATTTATGTGTATCAGTATCACGACAGTACACCACGCCTACTCCTTTGGAAATCGGCCTTTCGTACCACGTATACATTTGATGAACAGTTTAGTAGTTTCACGAGCCTGTGTCCGGCCGACAAGGAAAACACAAATGACGGGACTGAATCTCAGATCCGTTTCAATTATAGAGCATGAAACATCAAGGCCGGATTTTGACAGATTCAACATTTTATTCAACAAGTGCCTCATTGGCCGTTTTGACACTACTGAGTCTTATTTGTCAATCAATCAATCAGTTTATTCGGTAGTAAGGCCTCAGGCCCACGTACATGTATATACAAATTAGCGTCACATCAAGTGCTGCATGAAATAATATTTACAGGTTAGAAGAACGAAGACAGATAGCATTTTTAACATAATTGGCTAAGTTCTCAAGCAGCAAAAAAAATGCAGTTTCCGGTATCCGGATACCTGCCGGATACCTCCGGACACTTACCCAAAACGCATCCAGGTATCCGGTGGCAGATACCTTGCCGGATACCAGATACATGGTATCCGGCATGGACACCTCACCTGAAAGTATGCCACCTGGAATCCAGGTATCCGGCACCGGATACCTCAATCTGGGTGTCCAAGGATCCGGCACCGGATACCTCATTCTGAGTTTCCAAAAACATGTCACAATGTGGTTCAATTTTGTTCAATTAAGTGTGAAACACCTAAATTTATATTGGAAACTAACCAAGAAAATTGAACATTGCTGAAGGTATCCAGCAGGTATCCAGATGCAATTTTTCAAGATGCTTTATTTCTGGTAAATAATGTTAGCCTGGGCATATCAGATAGCTGTAGTAATATTCTGTGTTATTTTAGTTGTAAATATCCCCTTAAAGTTGAGATCTATGATCTACCAGATTTCATCACACTACAGAGAGCTGTTCCTCAGTGACTGTGAACATTTTTACTGAAAGACATTGACAGCTAATTTGACCTTCAATATCAGTTGCGACTATTTCAAAAACAATTGTAAAGTGCTTCATTCAGTGTAATATTGACAAACATATGACAATGATATACAACTATATGTATAAGAGTATTTTAGATTTCTGCAGGAAAAGGCACATTAGAGAACAAGTCATCAGAAAGATGACATATCCCTCCGCACAGCTGTCTGTAAAGTAACCACAAGAAAATGTGCAATTCTGTATGTAATGAGTCAACAGTTTAAAGTTCTGTAAGAAGCATACATTGTTTACCCACAAAAGATCCACCATGGTCACATCCATATGAATGC